TGTGTGTGTGTGTGTGTGTGTGTGTGTGTGTGTGTGTGTGTGTGTGTATGCACAATGAAATCCTGATCCCCAAACATCTGAGAACTTATGCGCTGCACACATAATCCCAGATAGACACAGTGTCCTCAGCCTGGCGTTGCAGGACCATGGGGCTCTCCTGGGACCAGCCCTTCATCCATTCCCAGCAGCACTCTGCAGCGGATGCTTGCTGGAGCAGTGCCCTCCCTGATCCATGCATCTGCCTTCTTGCTTCCGTGTCTCTGTTCCTGCTGTGTCCTCTTCCTCACCACTTTCACTGGTCTAAGGCACGCCACACTCCAATGCTGCTTCTGCCAGAGCCTGCCCTGAACACCCTAGGAGGCACCAGGTTCTGCAAGATCATTGCATTTTGCGTGCCATGTGTCCCACCGGGACTTACATGCGTGTATTCCCCACACTGAGTGTCCTGAGAGGGGGTGAGGTCTTGCATGTCTCTGTGTTTCTCCCATGGAGGAGGAAGGGTGAATGGATTGAAGACTTGGATTGGCAGAGAGAGAAACGTCTAGCAGGAACTTTACAGCATCTGTCATTCTGGCAAAGGCACATGGAGGCCCTCCTCTGGCCCGGCACAGCCTTGGACTGGAGGCCCAGAGATGGGCACAGCCGCTCTGCTCTGGAGGAGCTCACCACCTGGGGGTGAGGTGGGTGGAGCAGAGACACAGAGTCCACAGGGAATTAATGCTTAGTGCCCCTGCTGTGTGGGAGACTCCGTTCCAGGCACGTTCAGGTGTGCCGTCTCAGTGAATGCTTGCAGCATCATGCCCTCTTCACTGTTAGTGTGGAGCTTTGACCTGCAGGATGTTTCCAAGTGCAGGGCATGGAATAAACTCCTTGATGGGAAGAACCCAGAGGAATGGTCCCAGCGGGGTGGAGGAGCTAGTGCCGCTTCTGGGTACCGTACCTGTGATGTAAAATACAGGTCTGTACATAGTGGGGCTGCATCATCTTGTCCTAAAACACACCGAAGAGGCACATGTGTGTTTCAGAGCCATGGACAAAGGCCCAAGGGACAAAGAACAACTGCGCTTTGTGGAGTAGCTTGCTCCTTGGCATTTTTGATCCATATTTTTTCAGTATGTGTGGATGGGTGTGGACCTGACTCCCAGGGGTGAGGCAGAGCACGCCCTGGCTTTGCCTCTCCATGTGCAGTCACACACCAGCAGTGCATCCCCTGGGGTGCTTATTAGAAATGCTGAGTGGCTGGCCCCACCCTAGACCCCAGAACTCTGTGTGTCGATAAGCCCAGGTGACTCCTGTGCACGGTAAAGTTTGGGAAGCACTGGGCCAGAGTACAGACCGTATTCATCGTGAAAGAGCCTCAAGGCCAGCCAGTCCACCCAGCCCATTTTACAGATGATAAAACTGAGGCCCAGAAAGGCAGAATGAGACGCTCCAAGTCATGTGGCAAATGGGTAGCAGAGCCAAGGCACAGCTTTGCAGTCCACACTGCCGACTGTGTGAAAGGGTCCCAAAAGGAAACTGTGGCCCAAATCTGCCTCTAAAAATTCCTGGGTCAGGGTCAGGACTTCACGGGGTGTGTAAAGCTCACTGTGAGAACTCATGGCTTGTGACAAAGAAAGAGGCATGGCTTACTTGTGTGGCATTAGCTCTGAAAGGACCCCCTGGATACTGCTGGGCACCCTGGAGGGAATCCGACCCCCTGGGAGGAAGCCTTGGCCCCCACACGCTCACCTTTAATGCCCACCCATCACTCCTCTGGCTTCCTATCAGACAGACCTGTCACGTTTCCTTCTTCCTTTGCCTTCCCCTGACTCTCCCTCCAACTGTCTTTAGACTGAAGGACTTTGAAAAACAGGGACTGAGTCCTTGGATGTGCCAGGCCCACCTGGGCCTGGCAGAGGATGAGAAAACTCTGGCTGGCAGGCTGCAGTACCGTTCCAATCCCAGTGGACGCCAAGAGTAAAGACACAGTTTCTTCCCATGTCCAGGGGTTCAGAGAACTCTGTGATAAGGCAGCTTCCCAAAGCCCCAGAACAAGGCTGTCTTTGCCTCGAGTTGGTACCCACAGAAACATGAGAACGTGTGCAGTTCTGCCAGGGCCGGGGAGCCGCCTGCAGTGAAATGCAAAGCTCTGCATGCCCTGATTCTGACCGAGAGACAGCAAGGCCTTGTTTCCATGACTGTGGTGGATTGGGGGTCAGGTGTCAGGCCTATGGGCAACCTTGTATGCAAATGTCCTGGGCAACTGGAAAATGAGAGCTGGTATCTTAGAGAAAATTATGGTCAGTTACAAAATCCAAGTTTCTCTGTTACTCCCACACTTCCTGGATTTTGAAAGCAGGGTAATAAAGTCGTTCGTAGAGCTTCTCCTTCCAGGACACTGACAGAGTTTTGCAAGCGTGAGCCAACAACTGACCAGCCCAGGAGACTTTCTTACCAGCCTTTTGTACCAGGCTCTACCTCAGGGGATCAGCAAACTTTTTCGGTAAAGAGCCAGATAATGACATTTTTGGCTTTGCAGGCGATATGATCTCCCTGTTGTGACTCTGCAATTCCACCCAACGACTTCACTGTGCCCAATGACTCCACTCTCCTTGTAGTGAAACAGCAGCCACGAATGATATGAAAATGAGTGGCGTGGCTGTGTTTCAACCACACTCTATTTACAAGAGCAGGCCGCGGGCCGGCATCTGCCCCCCTCTGCTGTGGATCAGTGATTCCTAACCTTGGCTGTACATCAGAATGACCGGGCTCCCTGGGTGCCCGCACCCCTGCCACACCTCTCTCCCCCTTCCCTCCCCTCCATTGATTTAATTGGTTGGAGGTACATTCTGGACACTGGGGGCAAAGCTCCTCAAGTGATTCTGATGAGCAGTCATGGTTGAGAGTAGGGGCTAACTCTGTCTTGTTTCAATCTCTTGGGGCAGCTGGAAATGCTCCCCTGAAACACAGCCTGCCTGCTGCTCTGGCCCCAGAGTGCCTGCTGGGCATGTTACCTGATGACAAAGCTGTGGGCATCAATCTCCCGCCCACAGCCGCTGTTCAGCAAGACCCCCGAGTTGCCTACGATGGCACAAGTCCCAAAGTGCTTGTTCTTCAGCGGCGAAGTCCTGGGGAGGAGCTCGTAGAGGTTCTGGGACACATTCATGGTGCTGTCTCGATCGAAGATGTAATGAATAATGTCTCCGGGCTTCAGGGTTCCCTTTAGGACAGAAATGTCCTTTTCAGCATCCAAGAACTTCAAAATTTGCTTCCTGTGGAAACCAAACATGCGTAAGGAAAGCCCCTGTGGTGCCAGCTGCCCTTTGCCAGCCCAGCTTTCTTGTCCAGTGTCGCCCTGCAGGGTGGCTGGAGCCCAGCAAACACGGAGCGTGCTAAGAGTTCAGGTGCCCTCGAGAATGGGTTCCAGGCAGGGTGGCCAGAAATGGCCCAGAGGCAACTATGGTGGTGGCCAACATGGAGTTGCCAGGGTTATGCCCTCTTCCTTTGTGAGGCAAAAACAGCGTGGCAAATCACTCCATTAAAGCTGGGGGTGAGCTCCTCACAGCAGGCCCCAGAAGGAGGGGTGGCCCAGCATCCCAGTTTCCCCAAGACTTCCTGGCCTGGGCACTGAAAGCCCCACATCCCTGAAAACCCCTCAGTCTTGGGCACACCCAGATATTTGGTGACCCTACATTACACTCACTCTCTTAGGGGGATTTAGGGCCATTCTCTGACAGGGATGAAAATGAATGGTTAGGTACAAAATCCAAGTTTCTCTGTTACTCCTGCACTTCCTAGATGTTGAGAACAGGTTAGCAAAGTTGCCCAGGAGTAGGAAGTCAGATACAGGAGCCTTTTATTCCTTACCAGCCCCTTGTCTTCCATGGAAGGTTTCTCTGGGCAAAGGAGCTTTCTGGAGGGATGGATACTGTGATGTGTACGAACATGTCCGCCTTTGAGACACTGAGAGGACGGCCTGCCATCCTGCAGGCTGGAGCAGCTCCCCTTGCTGCCCCTGCTAGGTGCTATCTAGTGTTTATGGTGGGGAGATTGTAAATATGGACACCTCGCTGGTCCACAGAGAAGGGCTCCTTTGTGTCGTTTCAGAGCAAAGGACAGCTCTCTAGGCTCTAGGGTAGCTTTGAGTTAGAGAAAGTTCTCGAACTGAATCATCTAGCAAAGCACAAAGAAAGGATGGAGTGAGGTCAGGAAAGGGATGGGTGTCCTCGTGGACTTGCCAGAAAAGCTTTATCTGAAACACACAGCCTTCCTCCACGGAGCCTGCGAATCCTAGCCTGGTATTACTTAAAGAACTGTTTACATATAGCCCAAGATTTTTAGAAATGATTCGTTATTCATAAAGAGAAAGAAACTGGGGACCTAGATAAGCTGAAGCTAATTTCATATTCTGCTGCAAATTCCTGTCTGGAACAAACAGATGCAGTTCTTTGTTTTCAGAGTCCTGGAGGTGCAGAAGTTTCATGCACTTTGCAAATGTGAGATGCTGTAGGATGGCTGTCCCATTTCACAGACAGTAACACTGAGGCCTGAAAGCCTGCTGGATTTGAGATGTTCACCGCCTGTGGTACATTCCAGCAGGCTGCACATTGAGTCACTTGGGGAACCGTTAGTATTTCAGAGCTCCAGGCTGACACGTAAGAAATCTTGGTTCTGCAAGTGGCCTAGGTCTCAGCATTGCTTTCAAAAGCTCCCCAGGTGACTTCAATGTGCATCCAGGTTTAAGAGCTTTTGGTGCAGCTGGGGCGCAGCTAGAATACTTGGTGAGCTTGAGACTTCTCATCCACTGTCTCTCCTTACTAATGGATCTCTTGCTATCATGTTGGGGAAACCACCCTTGTAGACTAATTCGTGTCCATTGATGAAAAACAGAGGCATTGCTTTTATTTACTGCGCTTTACGAAGGATTATATGACTTGACAAACTAATGTAGCTGGGAGATTGCTGAAACCCTTGCAATTACTTACTCCAAAGTATTTAAAAACAAAGAGGGCCCCTAGAAAGCCCATAAATAAACACCTCTGTGAGTGAATTAATGTCTAACTAATTATGAGAAATTACCATCAATTATTAAACATCATTCCAAATCACTTGCAGAATCTTTTATTGTGGATAATCTTGATTAATTGAAGTTGGAGGACATTCTTTTTCCCTCTGGGTGAAGGTGTGTTGTTCCTGTTGAGGGGACTGTGTGTGCAGGGTTTTTATGAAGGATGCAGTCTGGTCTTCATGGGGCAGGGTGGGCAGGGGCTATTTCTCTACCCAATGGTGGGAGAAAGGGACATAGGGGACCATGGGTGGCTTGTACTAGCAGGAGGATTTCATTCACAGGTGGTGTAGTGGGGAGAATGGTGACCCCCTAAAATACATGTCCACCTCCTAACCCTGGGAACCTGAGAATGTGACCATATTTCAAAAGAGCATCTTTGCAGATGTAATTGATGTAGGAATCTGGAGATGAGATCATCCTGGATTACCTGGGTGGGCCCTAAATTCAATGACAAGTGTCCTCATAGAAGACAGAAGAGGGCTGGGCGCGGTGGCTCACACCTGTAATCCCAGCACTTTGGGAGGTCGAGGCAGGCGGATCATGAGATCCAGAAATCAAGACCATCCTGACCAATATGGTGAAACCATATTGGTTTCATCTCTACTAAAAATACAGAAATTAGCTGGGTGTGGTGGCATGTGCCTGTAGTCCCAGCTACTTGGGAGGCTGAGGCAGGAGAATTGCTTCAACCCGGGAAGCGGAGGTTGCAGTGAGCCGAGATTGTACCACTGTACTCCAGCCTGGTGACAGAGCCAAGACTTTCTCCTCAAAAAAAAAAAAAAAAAAAAAGAAAAAAGAAGTAGAGGCACAGCACAGAGGAGAGGGCCACAGAAGACAGAGGCAGGGGCTAGAGTTCTGCAGCCACCAGAGGCTGGAAGGGGCAAGAGGATGGGTTCTCCCTTGGAGCCTGCAAGGGGTGCTCAGAACTCTGGCATCCAGAACTGTGCAGGAATCAACTTCTGTTGTTTTAGGCCACTGAGTCGATGGTAATTTGTTACAGCAGCCCCAGGGAACTAATGCAGGTGGCAGTGCCACCTCCACGGTGCCCCTGATCAACGGGGACAGTTGTTAGAGCTTTGTGAGGGGGATGGAGGGCCACCAGGAGGCCCCTGAAGAGGCGTTGAGTAAGAAGTGCAGAGTGGCAGGGAGTTGGCTACTTTAGATGGTTTCTCAGTTGCCAGGTCACCAGAGCGCATGCTTTTCCTTCCCAGCCCTGCACATGTCCCAAAACTAAGCTTCAAGAACTAGGGTGCGGGGCCATTTCTATTTTGACAGTGAGCCTACTGAAGGGGGGAACCCCTGCTCTGTGTGGTGACATTGCTGGTGGCTGCTCTCCCCTCTCCCCATGGCCTGGGATGGTCATCAGCGCCTTCCCCATGTGGTCCTGGCTACCGTCCCAGCCTCACCCCCTCATTCCCTGCCTCCCGCTTCCTGCTCCTGCAGCACCGTGCACAGGTACCAGATCATAGACTCTGTGGATATGGAAAGCAGCTTGGTGAACTCCTAATTATCCTTCAAAACCCACTGCTCCTGGCCAGCCTCTCCTGGCCAGTCCTCTTAGTCCCCTGACAAAATGAATGGCTCTTTCCTCAGTATGCGTCTGTGTTTCCAACTGATCACTTACAGATGACATCTGTGTAAGATGCAGCACCACCTAATGTGGATGTCAGCCCATGCTGTCTTGTCTTTGCTTACAGTCTTGTCCCCACCTAGCATGTCTGATTCATGCCAGCACCCCCAGGCCCCAACACGACATCTGGAACGGAATAGTTGGATTATACTTAAAAACATTTGCTGGGTCAATCATGGTGACATCTAAGCTGAGTGTATAAAATGCCGAAGTTGTCAGTCCTTCTCTAGGGTTCCCCATTGCCACTACCCGATCAAGCCTGCAGTGCTCTGAAAACATCACTCTGCACAGATCAGGATGAGCTGCTCTCCAGCTAAACAGAACTCTGCTTTCAGGTCAGGTGTCATGTCCGTTCCTGAGTTCTCCGAATGCCCCTGTGGCTCTAGTTTTTCATTTTCATGTTGTGGGAGATGGGCAGCCTATGCAAGCTGTAAGGGCTGAGGGAGGGAGTAGCTCTCCAAGGACAAACTGGGGGACAGTCACTGAAAGGGGATGTGAATGCATGCCAGGCAGGCCCCAACAAGTAAGGACTCTTTATGCCTCAGAAGAAACAGCCACCTGTGGCCTCCACTGCCCAGGCACCCTTTGCTGCTGACCTGAGGCTCAAGGTTTGCTGCTTCTGAGTCCAGGAGCTCAGTGGGTACTCCTGCCACCTCCTGGCCCCAGTCGCCACCTACACAGGCTGGGCCGCCAGGCTTGTCTTGGGTTTTTATTTCCAATTGATCACTTACAGATGAAACCTGCCTCAGCGGGAGGTAAACATTTTATTTCTATCCTGACTGCTTTAGATGATGAAGAGCGGCAATTTGCCAGTGTGTGCTGCAGAAGACCAAGTCTTCTTGCCTTGTCCTGTAGGTAATTACCAGTACCTGATCCTCAGAGAGAGCGTCTGGTTATGTCTCCATTTGGACGAGGCTGGCTGGATGTTGTGCTTGATGCTTTCATTACTTCTGTCAACAACAGCTGGTGATGAGGAGCCATTTATTACAACTTCAGCTCTGGAAGGAAAAGAAAGGAAGAGGGTGGACATGATGTGTTAGCAAGCCGATGACAAGTCTAATAGTTTTGTTTTTGCACGGGCTTGCATGTAAACTTTTCCAGAAGAGCAAAATTGCAGTTATTACCTGAGAAGAGAAGGAAGTCTATTTATCTTCCAGTAATGCACAAACTCTGTCCCTCAGGTATAACCTACATACATTCTTGGAGACAGGAAGGAGGGTGATAAACCTATTTTTCTTCCCCCGCCCCCAGTGTTTTTTTACCCAGTAAAACCTGGCAGTCACTGTCAGAAGACTAATATTTCTTATTCAAGCTATTGATAATAAACTCCACAAGGAGCAGGTATATGAGCAACAAAGTATCAAATGATGGGCTTACAAACTTAAAGAGAAAACAAGAACTCAGACCAGGATGATGTAATTGTAGCCTGTGGCTTCACCCTCCTCCCTGGCAGCCCCATCAGTCTCTTGGGGGTAACTCTGAGGTGCTACTTGAAACCTGGCGCTTGTCACACAGTTATCTGCGCTGTGTCTGTCCCTCATGTGAGGCTGTAAGCAAGGGATCGCCCACATTCATTTTATATTCCCTAGTGGTCTGACATAGCAGGTGCTCAATAAATAAGTATTGTTGAATTTAGGTTGAAATCACCCTGGGAAAGCCTTGGGTGAATGAAATAACTGGCTGGCTTTGTACTCCCTGCATGGATCATGATTCTGGGTAAACACCCCCTTTCCAGCTGACTCAGGAACACCAGGTATTATAAGACTGGCTTGAATTCAGTGGCTTGAAATCTATGCTAGTAGGTTTCTATAAACTAGGTTACAATTCTATCTTTAAAACGCAGTGGAAGAGTCAGCCGGCTTACTGCCGAATGCACACAGTTGTATGTGGGTCACAGCCAAAGTTCTGTTTGTCTGGGGTGACAGCAGATTCTCCCAGTTAGAATAAGTGGATTTGTGACACCAAATTCGGAAGCTTGAAGGAGTTCAAACCAAACATCTATGTCCTCTGCATTTATCTTGAAACAGCCAAGTTAAAAAGGATGAAATCCTGTTAGTGAGTTCTAAACCTGACACTCTACTTTGGCTTTTTTTTTTTTTTTTTTTAATTTGGAGACAGAGTCTTGCTCTGTCACGCAGGCTGCAGTGCACTGAATACAGTGGCACAGTCTCGGTTCATTGCAACCGCCACCACCCAGGTTCAAGTAATTCTCCTGGCTCAGCATCCTGAGTGGCTGGGATTACAGGTGAATGCCACTACACCTGGCTAACTTTTCTATTTTAGTAGAGTCGGGGTTTCACCCTGTTGGGCAGGCTGGTCTTGAACTCCTGACCTCAGGTGATTTGCCTGCCTCGTCCTCCCAAAGTGCTGGGATTACAGGCATGCGCCACTGCGCCCAGCCCTACTGTGACTTTCACAGGTAGAGAAGGAATTCGTTTGGGGGTGCATGTTGTCCCACACATTCCCGTCACCCACCAACCTCCATTCCTCAATATTTCTGACTCCTTTGGGCTGATATCACTTGTCTTGAATTCAAATATCTATAACTTTGCAGAGGAACTCTTCCTAGCATGCAGGCTTAATGGAGCTTCTGAGAGGATACACAAGACCTAACCCTTTGGAATTTTTACTGTTTTCATTCAAGGAGCAGAGGGTACAGTGGAAAGATTGCATAAGCTGTGTGACTGTGGGGTGATCACTTTACCTCTCTGAGCCACAGATTGCCCATTTATAGAAACAGTATAGAAGAGACAGATAACCATTTCCTGAGGTTCTGGAATTCTCAAGGGAGCACCGATGTTCTCAAGGGAGCATGCCCCAATGGCCTCCACCTCATGAGTGATACCAGCAGGAGCTGGTATCACTGTATCCTTTTGGTATCGCCAACTTTTATGCAGAGCATAGGCAGGGGCACTGACCTCAGAGACGTCAGCAGCTTCACTGGAGCTTCACTGAAGCCTACCTCAGTAGGTACACACAACGGAAATGCTTTAATGTTGGTGATGAGGAGTTGTTACCCTAAGAGGCTAGCTGATGTGCTCAGAAGGAATCAGTGACTGTGTGCCCTGGCATCTCATGGCTTAAGGTGAGTTCAGTCTAGGGCGATGCTTCCCAGAAACTGGGGCACACTGGGTGGCACCAGGCTCTCAGAAAAGGATCTGTAGAGGGATTCTATCATAGGTGCTTAGAGAGGGGACCTGCTCGGACGCCTCCAGGAAAGGTTTCCAGACTTGTCTTGGACACAAGGTTGTAAAGGTCAGAAAGGGAGAGAGATAAATGCTGGTGTGGATGATGGTAAAATTCCTCTCCACTTTCTAGGGTGAATTTGGATCACCCTAGATGGGCATCCTGCATAGCCCATCATGGTCTTATGGGACTTTAACCCGGGCTTGGGTGCAGTCTAACTGGGGGGCTTGAGAAAGTCCTTCAGATTTCTGGACTCTACCTTCTTATCTGTAAAATAAAGGGGATGGATTAGATAACCCCAGGATCCGCCTCAGTTCACGGGTTTGACACGCTCTGTGCTGCACAAACGTGCTGGATTGGTGAGTTGAGATGTTCCTCGTCAGTGAACATATTCTCCTGTCTCCAGTCCTCCCCAACGTCCAAAATGACACTAGAGGAAGATCACCTCCTGACCCCTGAACTTCAGCCCCAGTGACCTTCTTTTGTTGCCACAGATATATCCACAGTGGTGTTAACAAGCATTGATTAAGTACCTTTAACATATCAGGTGCTGGGCTAGATAGAGCCTTACATTTGGTGGTTCTAATCCTTAAACACTCCTCAAAGAAGACACTGCAGTTATTATTGTAATTAAATGGGGAAGCCAATGCTCAGAAGGGTAAAATCACTTGCCCAAGGCCCTGGCTAACAAATACCGGGGCTGAAGCCAGGGCTGCCTGCCCCCAGGACTGTTTTTTCCATTTCTCATACTTGATTCCTATGAAACTGTGCCCCCTCGATTACCAGGGACTTGGGCTTTAGGGGCAGGATCTTCTTTCTCTGAAAGGGGGCATCATTTCATAATCGAACAGAAATGGGCTTAGGCGCACAAGGCCTTCTTCCTTTCCGCTATATTTGCTTTTCACCAGGCATAACGGAGGCTTCATTCAAAGCTCCAAGGTGACTAAGAGGTCTTTAGAGAGCTGGAAGCAATGATGTCAGGGACAGAGAGAACAGTGAGTCATACAGGGTCAGGAACAGAGGTCCTTGACAGGTCTCATGTGGAAAAGAGATCTAAAAAAGTATGGAAGGGCAAATAATAGACTATCCCCTGCGTCATATGGACCTCTTATGCCCACAGTAACCAAAATAGGATATTTAGACAGCAAAACACGGCCTTGATTTTGAGTAGCAGCTTTTGTTTACATCAAATAACTTGGCACTTCCTTCCACAGCTCCTTAAGTTCAGGGTTATAAGACTGTGGGCCATAGCTTTGGAGCACTTATCATTGACAGAGAATGGGGACTCAGAAGCATGGTGCAGCCACAGCCAGGGGCAAGCCTGGGTTTGCATGCTCTCTTGCTTCCAGCTGTCCCCTGGCCAATGACTGTTCCGCACCATTACAGAAAATAGAAACACTCTTTCAGAATTTGGAGTGTACATTCAATAATCAGGGTTAACATTACTGTGTTGACTCCTTAAATATTTTAAGAGGTGTCAGCAAAGTTCCTGAATGCTTTATTTTCCATCTTAACCTCCTGGACAAGCCACCTACTGCAGTGAAATTCAGCGAAAATCCTGGTTCCCTTCAGGGTCTCCATTGGTCAGCAAACATGCAAGTTTGAGTAAGCTCATTGGTGTCCCAGGCATTACAAAGTGGGTGGACTCTTCCAGAAAGTGACTCTTACCCATCTTCATTTTCCATCTCTACAGCCTCTAGACCTTGGGCCATTTCATGTGATCTTCTATTGACAGCTCCCCCGAAAAGTGATTAGGGAAATGCAAAGCCAAAGTGAAACAAAACAGATCTATTTGCTAAGTAAGAAGGGCACCATCCAGCAAAGAGGAGAAGCAGATTAATAGCTGCCTTACAGCAAAAACAAATGAACACAAAATCTAATTTACAAACCTATTAGATTTGCTATGTAAGCTGTTCACAGCTGATCTGATTGTACCTCTGCCTCCCGAATTCCTGCAAGACAAAGGAAATGCATTATTTATAAACCCAGCTCATCTTTGCAAAGCCCTCTTCAATTGCCAGGAGATCCCACAGCCCACCTGGAAAACTACAGAGGGAGGAAGAGACCTCATCCTGGACTCTCCAGAATGGGCAAAGTCCTGGCCCCAGACACAGCCCAAACATTTTATAGGGTGTGGACTTCCTGGATCCTCCCCTGGTCCCTTTCCCACTTGAATATTCATCCAATTCATACCCAGGTTCTCACTTGAGACCCTCATTTAAGACAGAAAATAAACTCCCTTGGGATTAGTCTCCCTTGGTGAATCCCAAAGGATAGCATGATTCAACATGACTCAGCATCTGCTCTAGCATGACTCAGCACCAGCTGGCTGTCTTCTCTTGCTTTCACTCACATGTAGTGAGCTGCTGTCCACTGCATTCTCTCCAAACTTGAGACACCAGAAATTCAACAGAGGCAGCAAGGTTAACTCAACAGTGCCTCCATCCAAATGTGATTGCAGTTTGCTCTTTGGTGGCAAAAGAAATAGTATTATGGGGTGTCACTCTGCTGGGAAGTGGGGAGGGTGTATGTGGGTCATGAGATTCCTTGTTCCTTCCTCTGTAGGATAGTCTTTTGAAGTAAAAGCACTCTAAGCCCCTTTCCACTCCTACTGTCTACTCAGTTCTGCCAAATCCCATTCTGTTTGTCCACGCGGATTCATCCTGCTTCACTGACACATTAAGCTGGGGGATGGACAAATCCATGTGCCTCTAGTACGCCCCACTTTTTGCCCTGCATGTTTTAGAAAAGTTGTATGTGAGATTCATTATTTTTATGAATAAAAAAATTGGGCCAGGCACGGTGGCTTACGCCTGTAATCCCACCACTTTGGCAGATCACGAGGTTAGGAGACTGAGACCATCCTGGCTAACACTGTGAAACCCTGCCTCTACTAAAAATATAAAATTAGCCGAGCATGGTGGCACACGCCTGTAGTCCCAGCTACTCTGGAGGCTGAGGCAGGAGAATCACTTGAACCTGGGAGGCAGAAGTTGTATTGAGCCAGGATCACGCCACTTCACTCCAGCCTGGCAACAGAGCGAGACTCTGTCTCAAAATAAATAAATAAATAAAAATTAAAAAAAAATTATAGGGGGTGTTGGCGGACTCCAAAGAAATAATTGAAATCATTAGGGAAGCTGCGCATTGAAAGGAACCTTGTCATTCAATGGGAACACTGTGGGCGGGGACGGAGTCAGTGCCTATCCATACACTGGTTTTAAGTCTGGATTTTTGTATCTGATTTCCTTAGAATTAGCACACTTGTGTATATCACATTGTGTGTGCACATGTGTGGGTGTGCCTGTCTATATATACATGTCTTTTCCAGATAAATTGTCTTTTCAACATTATTGAGCAACAGGCTGTATCTACCCATTTCGCAGGCAGATAACCAGACAACAGAAAGGGTATCATGATCCACCTAGTCTCATTTTAGTTCTCCCTTACGGTTCCAAATTCATCACTACAAGTCTAGTTCCCAATGACCAAGAGTATCATTGGTTCTTCTCATCTGAATGTGATGTCTAATATTTATTTTTGTTCCTCTCCATTTCCCCTTGGGATAATAGAGTTCTTGCACTACCATGTTGGGGTCTGGGAACGTTGGGTCAGCTCCGCGGCTGTGACCCGCATTCACCTGGGTCGGGTCCCAACGGCCTTGCTGGGTGTGCTGTGGCTCATGGGTTACTGTCTGTCATTTGCCCCCACTCTGGACCCTAGCCCTCAAAATCCGCCTCTCCTTTGGGGGAGGGGAGACCTGCTAGGCCAGACATTAAGTCAAGCACAGTAATTAAAATACAGTAACAGCTCAAGACCAATGAAACGTTCATAGAACAAAACAGATTATCCAGAAATGTTGCATATAAGAACAGATACATGATTTTAAAAAATCACTGTCAAAGAGAAATCCAATAAATGGTTTGGAATAGTTGGTTCATGATCTGGTGGTGAGTTGTGAGAAAAGCACTTGAGTGTTACCTTACTCTAGACAGAAAAAAAAATCACGGATTTAACAAACGTTTCCCACACTTTAGTAATTCTCAGATCCCTATTACCAGTTTTTTATATTTATCAACTCTACATACTATTATCCATTTAAATTTTAAAACAGACCCATCTTTAAAAACTTACCCTTACCCTAAGCAGTATCCTCTGTGAAATACAGGTCTGATGTCCTGATTACAAAGTAATTTAAAAAAAAAACCTAGACAACTATTAACACAAGAATAATTATTAGCAGAATTCCTAAAATCAGCTTACATTATCACAAGGAGTACCAGGAGTACCTGTACCACCCTCTAGGAATGACAGAATGAAACAGTTAAGTTTTTTTGAGATTGAGTCTCGCTCCATTGCCCAGGCTGGACTGCATTGGCGCAGCGATCTCGGCTCACTGCAACCTTCACCTCCTGGGTTCAAGCAATTCTTGTGTCTCAGCCTCCCGAACAGCCGGGATTATAGGCACCTGCCACCATGTCCAGTTAATTTTTGTATTTTTAGTAGAGACAGGGTTTTGCCATGTTGGCCAGCCTGGTCTCAAGCTCATGACTTCAGGTGATCCACCCACCTTGGCCTCCCAAAGTGCTGGGATTACAGGTGTGAGCTACTGCACCTTGCCAGCCTGACCAAAACAGTTGAGAATGAAAATATCTATATGGCACTCTAGGTTCTGGGGTACATGTGTAGAACATGTAGGACTGTTGCATAGGTACATACATGGCAATGTGGTTTGCTGCCTCCGTCACCCTGTCACCTATATCTGGCATTTCTTCCCATGTTATCCCTCCCCAACCTCCCTACCCCCCGCTGTCCCTCCCCATTCCCCCCCGCAACAGACCCCAGTGTGTGATGCTCCCCTCCCTGTGTCCATGTGTTCTCATTGTTCGATACCTGCCTATGAGTGAGAGCATGCGGTGTTTGATTTTCTAAAACAGTTGAACATTTAAAGAAGGAAACCCATAAGAAACACAAGGAAGGGCATATTCATCAAATCTTTGATGAGGGCTGAGGAGTATATGGGAGGGATTTTTAAATTTAGAATAAGAAGAAATTACCAAAAAAAAAAAAAAAGCCAACAGATTTAACTTTATAAAAATTCAAAATCTGGCTTGTACTAAAAGCAAACATCAACAAAACTAAACCCAATTTCTTTAATGAAACCTAAGGTGGCTCTGGATGAGGACAGCAATACATCTAACTTACTGTTTTTCTTATTCGTTCAACAGAAATATTTTGAGTAATACTGTATTTCAGGCTTTGGCCAAGCTAGACATATGTAGTCCCCACGCTCATGGAGTAAAGTTTAACAGACAGTAGAGATGCATTAATCTTTTTGTTTTTTCTAAGTGCCCAACCTCCCATCAGCTTTGTTAAGGATAATAGACAAACAAATTGTGTATATATACTATAACATGATGTTTTGATATCTGTATACATTGTGAAATAATTAAATGAAGCTAACTCACATATCCATCACCTCGCACACTTTTTTTTTTTTTTTTTTTTTTTTTTGTGAGATGGAGTCTCGCTTTGTCACCCAGGCTGGAGTGCAGTGGCCTGATCTCGGCTCACTGCAACTTCTGCCTCCTGGGTTCAAGCGATTCTCTTGCCTCAGCCTCCTGTGTAGCTGGCATTACAGGAAACTGCCAACACACCTGGCTAATTGTTGGTTTTTTAGTAGAGACGAGGTTTCACCATGTTGGCCAGCTTGGTCTTGAACTCCTGACCTCAGATGATCCACCTGCCTCAGCTTCCCAAAGTGCTGAGATTACAGGTATGAGCCACCTCGCCCGGCCCATACTTGAAGTTTTTTGTTAAGAACATATAAGATCTACTTTCTTAGCAATTTCAAGTGTACAATACAGTATTATTAACTGTAGTTACTATGCGGTACAGACCACCAAAATTTATTCTTCCTGTCTGGAACTTTGTACCCTTTTTCCAACACCTCTCCTCCACACCACCCCCACCCCCAGTCCCTGAGAGCCAGGCTTAGAGGAGATCAAATGCCTTGCGATAGCTGGCTCCAGCCTTTCTCTTTTCCTGCCTCAGGCCAGGTCCTGGGGAACACTGATTCCTGCCCACTTGGGATACTAAAAATCCATACACCTTTCCATACCAGTTCTTACTCAAATTCAGGGGTTCTCAACCTTGGCACTCGGAATCTTGGTGGAGATATTTCATTGCTGGTGAACTCCTGTTTTCCGCCCAGTGCCTCTGAGAAGAGGAATCCCCCATGCCTCACCCCCAGCCCCACCAGCCTGCCCATCCACATCTCCTTTCCATGCGAATCCCCTCACCCAGCGCTGGTGCCTTCCTTCCAAACCGTCCCAATTTTCAATTCTCTGCCACCTTTTCCTTTTTTCCCAGAGCATTGAATTCTATTACAGCATTTGTCACCTTCTTCTCATATTTAATTACCTCGTGGAATCGCAGATGGGAGGCTTTGCAGAAGTCTTGTCATTCACACAATCTGAACTCCTACTCATACAGGCAGAGAGTCCAAGGCCTGGGGGTTTGTGTGCCAGGTTTAGCTTCCTCCTGCGGCCATGCTAAAGTGTCCGCCCTCGAGGGGGCGTGTTAAACATGTCTTTTTTTTTTCCCCCATTCCAACACGTTGACATCTGGGGCTCTTCTGACCCTGGAGAAATGGCCCGTCCCAGGGTTAGCCACTTTCTAGAGACAGCAAACAACTCTCCTGGGAGTGCTCCTGTCAAATGGCAATCTTGAAAACAGATCCGTACTGTCTCATTTATTGGGGGCCAGAATTTCCCTTCCCTGATGTAGGGCCAGGTATTCCCCTACTGTCATTGCCCCGGGCTAGGCACCATGCAACTAGCCACAGCTCCTACGCTGCAGAGCCTGCTGAAATTACTCAAACTAGCCAATCTTAAAACTGCTGGCCCTGCCTTGCCCGTTCCTTCCTGGGCAAACCACAACAAAGGCTCTTGCCAGTTTCCCCCCCCCCACCTCCAGACCAACCCCAGTGTCTCCTTGCGTAGAGCCCCGTGACGTGAGTATAACAAGCTGTCTTTCCCGTAGCAGTCGTTGCCGCATCTGTTGGCCCTGACATACGTAAATAATGACAGAACCTAGAGGAAAACAGGATAGAAGCTTGTCTTGTTCACTTTCTTAGCCTTGCACAGAGCTTTGCCCACTGGGATTCAGTGAAGCAAACCAGGCTTCAAGAGTTAAGTGGGTGCTTTTCTTCTAAAGCCGTCCCTGAAGCTCATGTGCCGTGTTCCCGCGTGTTATTTACACCTGTCCAAGACACTGCCTCACCTCTCAGCTGTTCATAGGACAGGGAAGACCATCGTTCAAAGAAATTGAGCTGCAGATGTTTGGCTCTAGAATAAATCACAGGAACGGACAAGGGATTTGTTTTTTCTAATGAAGTTTTGCCTCAAATGTTATTAAAATAAGCTTACATTCCTTGTGATGGGGAATTACTGATGCCTGCTTGGTTGATTGATAGAAGATGATTGGGTAAGAAACATTGGCTAAAGATAATTCACAAAGTGCTGAAATTGTAGAAACACGGATGCTTAGATCATCCAAGTGAGAAAATCTATAGGGATATACCCTGCATACTATAAAGAACTCTATAAAACAAGGTATAATACTGGTAAAAACAGCTGCCCATTCAAACTTGTTACAATATTCTCAACCATTGTAAGGGGAGAGGTTGATGACTTTAAAGGCTGACATTTTAGAATGTCAATTTTTTTTCGCACTATGGACGTTATATTCTCTCCTAGTAGAACGTACACAGTAAACTACGATAGTAAATGAAAATAGTATGTTAAAGAAAAATAAAACAAAATCACACCACACACGGCTGGATTTATTCTGGTGAACAGCAAGTAGCAAAACCGGAAAGCTGAATTTTGCTTAGTCTCTTCAAGCCCAAGTGTTTTATTTTAACAATTTATTAATCAAAAATTCATAACTGTGTATATTTATGGGGTACGTCATGATGTTTTGATATATATATATACCAAGCCCAGTTGTTTATAGGTAAGGTAAGGTCCAGTGTGCCGGAATCTCCTAGCTGTGTTAGAATTTCCCACATTTACAGTTTCTCATGGGAGAGTCAGGCTCAGAATGAACTTTCAGGAACTGACAATTTTAATTAAGAGTCTAGAACCAATTTAAACCGGTGATTAGTCTTAAGAATAGAAGATGAAACTAAAGCACAATTTATTAATTTGCAGATGGTTCTTTCTTCACATTTTCGGGAGAATACCGAATGCTATTTTTTCATTTTGCACATTAAAACCACTGGGATTTATGCTCGTTGACAGCCCACGGACAAGCTCCAAGGACCCATGGTCAGGAGAAAAGTGAGGAACAGGATGACTTGGGGTCAGTCACATGACTAGAGCAAGGGCTTCCAACAGTGATTGGAGACTTCTGTTTAAGATTTCTTCCCCCAATCCCAATTTTTCAAATTTTGGTAAAATACATATAAAATTTACCACCTGCTGTTTTTGAATGTTTTGTTCCCTTCAAAATTCACAGTTGAGGCCGGGCATGGTGGCTCACACCTGGAATCCTAGCACTTTGGGAGGCTGAGGCAGGTGGATTACCTGAGCTCAGGAGTTCGAGACTAGCCTGGGCAACACAGTGAAACCACGTCTCTACTAAAATACAAAAAATTAGCCAAACATGGCGGTGTGTATCTGTAATCCCAGCTACTCGAGAGGTTGAGGCAGGAGAATTGCTAGAACTCCTAGCAGAGGAGGCAAAGGTTGCAGTGAGCTGAGATCATGCCACTGCACTCCAGCTTGGGCGACAGAGTGAGACTCTGTTTAAAAAAAAAAAATTGCCCAGGCATGGTGGCTCATGCCTGTAATCCCAGCACTTTGGGGGGCTGAGGCAGGCAGATCACGAGGTCAAGAGATTGAGACCATCCTGGCCAACATAGTGAAACCCCGTCTCTACTAAAATACAAAAGTTAGCTGGGTGTGGTGGTGCACACCTGTAGTTCCAGTTACTCAGGAGGCTAAGGCAGGAGAATGGCTTGAACCCGGGTGATGGAAGTTGCAGTGAGTTGAGATTGTGCCACTGCACTCCAGCCTGTTGCCTAGCGACAGAGCGAGACTGTTTCAAAAAAATAAAAATAAAAATCATGGTCAAGTAGGAAACTTAACCTACAAAGTAATAGTGTTAGGGGCTCAGACAAAGGGCTTTTACACTCTTGGTGGGAGCGTAAACTAGTTCAACCATTGTGGAAGACAGTGTGGCGCTTCCTTAAGGACCTAGAAATAGTAATGGGATTGACCCAGCAATCCCATTACTGGGTATATATCCAAAGGATTATAAATCATTCTATTATAAAGGCACATGCACATGTATGTTCATAGTGGCACTGTTTACAATAGCAAAGACCTGGAGCCAACCAAATGCCCATCGACGATAGACTGGACAAGGAAAATGTTGCACATACACACCATGGAATACTATGCAGCCATAAAAAATGATTTTTTGAACTAGTTTACACTCCCACCAACAGTGTAAAAGTATTCCTATTTCTCCACATACTCTCCAGCATCTGTTGTGTCTAGATTTTTTAATGATCGCCATTCTAATTGGCGTGAGGTGGTATCTAAATGTGGTTTTGATTTGCATTTCTCCAATAATCAGTGACAATGAGCATTTTTTCGTATGTTTGTTGGCCTCATATTTGTCTTCTTTTGAAAAGGGTATGTTCATATCTTCACCCACTTTTGGATGGGTTTTTTTTTTTCTTGTAAATCTGTTTTATTTCTTTGCAGATTCCAGATATTAGCCCTTTGTCAGATGGCTAGATTGCAAAAATTTTTTCCCATTCTGTTGGTTGCCAGTTCACTCTAATGATTGTTTCTTTTGCTGCACAGAAGCTCTGGAGTTTAATTAGGTCCCATTTGTCTATTTTGGCTTTTGTTGCCAATGCTTTTGGTGTTTCAGTCATGAAGCACCTTGCCTATGCCTATGTCCTGAATGGTTTTGCGTAGGCTTTCTTTTAGGATTTTTATGGTGTTAGGTCTTATGTTTAACTCTTTAATCTATCTGGAGTTAATTTTAGTGTTAGGTGTCAGGAAGGGGTCCAGTTTCTGCTTTCTTCACACTGCTAGCCAGTTTTCCCAACACCATTTATTAAACAGGGAATCCTTTCCCCATTGCTCTTGTTAGGTTTGTCAAATATCAGATGGTTGTAGATGTGTGGCGTTGCCTCCAGGGCCTCTATTCTGTTCCATTGGTCTATATCTCTGTTTTGGTACCAGTACCATGCTGTTTTGATTACTGTAGCCTTGTAGTATAGTTTGAAATCAGGTAGTGTGGTGCCTTCAGCTTTGTTCTTTTTGCTTAGGATTGTCTTGGCTATCCAGGCTCTCTTTTGGTTCTATATGAAGTTTAAGGTGGTTTTTTCCAGTTCTGTGAAGAAGGTCATTTGTAGCTTGATGGGGATAGCATTGAATCTATAAATTACTTTGGGCAGTATGGCCATTTTCACAACATTGATTCTTCATAACCATGAACATGGAATGTTTTTCCATCTGTTTGTGTCCTCTCTTATTTCCTTGAGCAGTGGTTTGTAGCTCTCCTTGAAGAGGTCCTTTACATCCTTTGTTAGTTGTATTTCTAGGTATTTTATTCTCTTTGTAGCAATTGTGAATGGCAGTTTGTTCTTGATTTGGCTCTCTTTAAGTCTGTTATCGGTGTATAGGAATGCTTGTGATTTCTGCACATCGATTTTGTATCCTACGACTTTGCTTATCAGTTTAAGGAGATTTTGGGCTGAGATGATGGGGTCTTCTAGATACACAATCATGTCATCTGCAAATAGAGACAATTTGACTTCCTCCTTTCCTATTTGAATACACTTTATTTCCTTTTCTTGCCTGATTGCTCTGGCTAGAACTTCCAATACTATATTGAATAGGAGTGGTGAAAGAGGGCATCCTTGTCTAGTGCCAGATTTCAGAGGGAATGCTTCAAAATTTTGCCCATTCAGTATGATATTGGTTGTGGGTTTGTCATAAACAGCTTTTATTATTTTTGAGATACGTTCCATCCATACCTAGTTCATTGAGAGTTTTTAGCATAAGGGCTGTTGAATTTTGTCAAAGGCCTTCACTGCATCTATTGAGATAATCATGGGTTTTTTTTCTTTGGTTCTGTTTGTCTGGTGGATTACATTTATAGACTTGCGTATGTTGAACCAGCCTTGCATCCCTGGAATGAAGCCTACTTGATCGTGATGGATAAGCTTTTTGATGTGCTGTTGCAATCGGTTTGCCAGTATTTTATTGAAGACTTTTGCATCTATGTTCATCATGGATATTGGCCTGCAGTTTTCTTTTTTTGTTGAGTCTCTGCTGGGTTTTGGTATCAGGATGATGTTGGTCTCATAAAATGATTTTGGAAGGATTCCCTCTTTTTGTATTGTTTGGAATAGTTTCTGAAGGAATGATGCCAGCTCCTCTTTGTATGTCTGGTAGAATTCAGCTTTGAACCCGCCTGGACCTGGCTTTTTTTGGTTGATAGGCTATTAATTGCTGCCTCAACTTCAGCCCTTGTTATTGGTCTGTTCAAGGTTTCAACTTCTTCCTGGTTTAGGATTGTGAGGGTCCAAGTGTCCAGGAATTTATCCATTTCTTCCAGGTTTACTGGTTTATGTGCATAGAGTTGTTTGTAGTAATCTCTGATGGTAGTTTGTATTTCTGTGGAATCAGCGGTGATATCCCCTTTATCATTTTTTTTTGCACCTATTTGATTCTTCTCTCTTTTCTTGTTTATTAATATGGCTAGCAATCTGTCTATTTTGTTGATCTTTTCAAAACAACCAGCTCCTGGATTTATTGATTTTTTTTAAAGAATTTTTTGTGTCTCTATCTCCTTCAGTTCTGCTCCAATCTTAGTTATTTCTTGTCTTCTGCTAGCTTTTGAGGCTTTTTGATCTTGCTCCTCTAGCTCTTTCAATTTTGATGATAGGGTGTCAATTTTAGATCTTCCCTTACTTCTCATGTGGGCATTTATTGCTATAAATTTCCCTCTAGACACTGCTTTAATGTGTCCCAGAGATTCTGGTACATTGTGTCTTCATTCTCATTGGTTTCAAAGAACATCATTATTGCTGCCTTCATTTCATTGTTTATCCAGCTGACATTCAGTAGCCAGTTGTTCAGTTTCCATGAAGCTGCGTGGTTCTGAGTTAATTCTTAATCCTGAGTTCTAATTTGATTGCCCTGTGGTCTAAGAGACTGTTTGTTATGATTTCCGTTCTTTTGCATTTGCTGAGGAGTGATTTACTTGCAATTATGTGGTCAATTTTAGAGTAGGTGCAATGTGGTGCTGAGAAGAATGTATATTCTGTAGATTTGGGGTGGAGATTTCTGTCTATTAGGTCTGCTTGGTCCAGATCTGAGTTCAAGTCCTGGATATCCTTGTTAATTTTCTGTCTCATTGATCTAATATTGACAGTGGAGTGTTAAAGTCTTCCACTGTTACTGTGTGGGAGTCTAAGTCTCTTTGTAGGTCGTTACAAACTTGCTTTATAAAAGTACGTGGGTGCTCCTGTATTGGATGTGTATATATTTAGGATTGTTAGTTCTTCTTGATGCATTGATCCTTTTACCATTATGTAATGCCCTTCTTTGTCTCTTTTGATTTTTGTTGGTTTAAAGCTCATTTTATTAGAGATGAGAATTGCAACTCCTGCTTTTTTTTTTTGCTCTCCATTTGCTTGATAAATCTTCCTCCAACCCTTTATTTTGAGCCTATGTGTGTCCTTGCAGATGAGATGGATTTCCTGAATACAGCACAGCTATGGGTCTTGATTTTTATCCAATTTGCCAGTCTGTGTCTTTTGATTGGGGCATTTAGCCCATTTACTTTAAGGTTAATATTGTTATGTGTGAATTCTATCCTGCCACTTTGATGCTAGCTGGATGTTTTGCCCGTTTGTTGACACCTTTTTTTTCATAGTGTCGATGGTCTTTAACATTTGGTACATTTTTGGAGTGGCTGGTACTGATTTTTCCTTTCCTTGTTTAGTGCTTCTTTCAGGAGCTCTTGTAAGGCAAGCCTGGTGGTGACGAAATCTCTCAGCAATTGCTTGTCCATAAAGGATTTTCTTTCTCCTTCACTTTGAAGGTTAGTTGGGCTGCATGTGAAATTCTAGGTTGAAAGTTCTTTTCTTTAAGGATGTTGAATATTGGCCCCCACTCTCTTCTGGCTTATAGGGTTTCTGGGGAGAGGTGCACTATGTCTGATGGGCTTCCCTTTGTGGGTAACTTGACCTTTCTCTCTGGCTTCCCTTAGCATTTTTTCCTTCATTTCAACCCTGGGGAATCTGACGATTATGTGCCTTGGGGTTGCTCTTCTTGTGGAATATCTTTGTTGTGTTCTCCGTATTTTCTGGACTTGAGTGGTGGCCTATCTGCTAGGTTGGGGAAGTTCTCCTGGATAATATCCTGAAGAGTGTTTGCCAGCTTGGAGTCATTCTCTCTG